TCCCTAATTAAACAGTAAACCTGCTTAAGGTCTTTTATTCTGTTGAAAAGAACCTGGGTACAGTACAACATTGTAAATTGCTTTCACCCCCTCTTAACTTTCTTTTCAGACACTTCAGAATAAGTGAAGTTACCAGCACATAGTTGAAGTTATTTTCATTAATAGTGTGATATTCACACATGTAGCTTAACTGGCTCAATGACGTTAAAAAAAGGGAATGCAAGAATCCTGGCAGCTCATAAATCACCTCTGCTGATTAATGCATCTCCCTCTTAACCTTTGTTTCAAACAGTTTTGGATCAAATTATATGACCAGAATATAGGTTATTTGTTGTTTATATTTACATATGTAGTCTTAATAGCAATGAAATGGGGGGCTTCCAGTCATTTATCAGCATAAATGTACCCAAGAAAGAAGACATTGTTTTTAAACTGTACTAATTAGATCTCCATGCAATGTTTTTTACTTCAGCTATGAGCGCACTCCTGCAAGAGTCATCCAGTCCTCAGCAGACAGGCAGAATTCAGCATAGCCAGTCTGCCCCACCCACCTGCTCAGTGTTGTCTTAATCACTCAGGTTCTACTGAACATATTCAGTGCAGAAACCTTTAAAGAAGTTAGAATGTTTATATTAACACTACTGCAAAGAGGGAACAAAAATGGACAGTTTAGCTGTACATTGGCCATACAAACATGGACATTTGTCCTAGCTCTCAAAATAATGAGAATGGACTAATAATTGCTCTGAGCATATTTTAATAATTTGATACAGGTGCTTTGTGTAATGTTATTGTGTGACTGATGTACATAAATTAGAGCTATTGTCAGACAGTTCAAATGATGTTTGTTTTATGAATTTGTAGCAAACCTGAGGTAGGCAAGGACAGTTTGGAGAAAACGTGTTTACATGGACGTCTGGAGACAGATGTGTGACCACTAGTCTGTGCACAGTGCAACTTCAAAGTAATTAGAGTGTACTGTATATGGTCTTATGAGTTAAAAACTGAATCATGTTGAATGCTAAGGTGCAGAGTGGGACAGCAATGAAAGGGAGAGGAGGGGGAGATGTGGTCTCAGAGGGTAATGATGACAAAGTGGAAAGATAAGAATTACTTTGCATAACCACATTTAAAACAGCTGGATATGTATATAAAATCTACTGTATTTATAATTGTAATCTAAGTCAGATTAGGTGTCAGGTGATCATGCATACAGCTTTACCTTTTTCCTTTCTGCACACAAATATTGGGAGGAAAATGCTGAAAAATGAGACCCATCATTTTACTTATTAGATTAACATTGGGACTGCTTGTTAATCAAATTCCACAATTTAATTCACATTTTTTTTAGTCTACCCCTCTGGACTGTCCCCTTCCTGTAGCCAGCCTCTATGTTGGGTTTAAAACTAGACTGCTAATAACATATAACGCTGTGTATGAGAGTAAATCTGTGCATTCATTTCCTTGCATGTCTTTAAAGCCTTCTCTTTTTTGTATTGTGGCAGTTCATTTGTAATTCAAATTTTCTACACTAGGGGGTGCAATCACACTTTCTTTTCATACCCGTAAACTCGTTGATTAATGGGTTTCAAATTTAATATGTGCAATATTAGCTTTATATAAGATGCTCATAAATGTTTAAACTGTAAATTCAGCCTTCTTTCGCCAAGTTTGCAGATGATTTTTCAAGTTATCTAAGCATAATTATTTACGTTTCACTGACAAACGCAACAGGGCCCTGCAAAAAACGTTTATACACAGCAAAATAATTTAATATTCCATGCATGAAAAATGTTTGTGGTTTTAACTGAGAAAAACGATCATTATTTAGGAACGGTGTTGTTCCTAAATAAAAATTTTTTTCAATTGAATATTGTTACAATATCCAAAACCTACAGTACAGGGCTGCAGCTATAAGTGCGGGAATTATTGGAGTACAGCTCCCTGTTAAGGAGTGGGTATAATACGGGACGTTATGTAGGAGCTGCACACAAGCGGAGGTTTATGCTGTGCTCAGTGGGTTTTGCAGTAGTAGGTCTGAACTCTTAGAAGTGAAATTTGCAATGACCGGGGTGTAGGTGGTGATAGACTAAAGGCAACGCGAGAAACAGAAAGAGCAGAAGGGAGGGAGAGAGAGGGTAGCAGATACTTGGTAACGCATCACAGCAGGACAGGCAATCGAATCTATAGGCGCTCAGCCAGCGACGGACGAGGAAGGTAAGACAGTGTGATAATGGTATGATCATTCGGAGTTGGCAGACATGAAACTGTGTTAAAGCTATAGCTGTGGCAGAGAAGCTGTTTTCATATAAAGAGTTTTTTCTTTCGTTATAGTGTGTAACATTTATAGCTGTGCGTAATTTACGACTTTTGCGCTGACCACGAGTTATTTCACTTTGGTTCACAGTGTGGTAATGTGTTGTATTATGAACTTGGGGAGTAAAGGAGAGTTTCAGAAGTAGTTGATGACAGCATAAAGAATGTTTTGATGAGCTATCAGTCCAGTAGGAGAGCTGGTTATGTTATGGGTAACATGAAATGACATCGAGACCACTTCATTCAAGTTGTCCTCGTCAATAATGGTCTATTCCAACTGTTCTGTGCTTCAACCCACGTCATTTTATTAGAGCAATTAAGCAGCCGATAAATTGTAGTGTGCAGGCTTACGCAGTGGTGTCAGGTGTATGGTGATATCTCAGGTAGCACTGCCAACCAAAGAGGTGCCTGCTGGGAAGCACCTTGGTGTCCTCTTACCTATTTGTGTGACATGAACACGGCGGGGACACAACGCGGTTAAAGGGGAACCTCGCTCTCTTTGAGAATTGAACTATTAATGCTGCAGCTAATACTTTTTTCACTATATGTATTTACAGTAGTACTAGTTGCTAAACATTTAATGCAATGGCGCTTTATTCTTTACGCAGATACAGCTGGCGCAGCAATGACTTTGCAGTGCAAAGTAATGCCCATTTAACCCCCTGGCCAGGGTGCTTGCACTTTTGAGGCAGTTGCATTTATTTGTGTGTTCAAATCATGATTTAATGCAAAAAAAAAGTACTTTATCAGCAGATCTGTTACTGTGTGGATTGATGTCTAATATTGCCCTCACTGAGACAGAGGTATTGTATTTGGACTTGACAAAACAACTAAGATGTACAGTAAATGAACATTAAATCATAATTCTGTAATTTGACATGATAAAATGCTTTGCACAGTTACTTTATAGTGTATGTTTACTGGTATATGGCACTCTACAGTTTTGACTGTGAGCATACATAAGGCATACTCAGGAAAAGAGATTTACAAATATTTAACTTTTGTATTTATTTATGGGCTCTATCTAAAGGTAATATTATGTTTATTATTAAATAAGTGACCAAGCATGTTCTGTCTCTGAAGAAATGTTGTTATTGTGCCTTTTGAAATGTGTTGCATGCACATTTTGGCCTCACTGTTAACTCATCTTTGTGGTCTGCTAATGTGTAGCTAATGTGTAGTACTAGTGTGTAGCTATTGTCACCCCTGCTACAAAACAGGCACAGTACATCATAAAATAGACTAATATGTTGTGCAAGAGCTGTAAAACTGTTAGTACCATCTGTTGTTAAAAATCAACCTTTTCTATCACATATGTTGTGCTGTTTTCATGCATTGTGTGAAGAAAGCGTGATTCTGACAGTTGCTCTGAGTGTCTGTTACTGGCTTTGAATTCATTCAGAATACGAGAAGGAAGAAAAAAAACTGAATGCAGAGTTCATATCTGACAGACACATTGACTGACAGGCTCAAATGAAACCCAATAGGAGTGATGGAGGAATGAATTACAGATGCAGTGACTCTACTTTACTACCCTATGAGGTCTCACACAGGGAGCAGAGCATGGTATGAGGACAAGAAAGGATGTAAATATTGTAAAATTGAAGAATGGAAAGCTGGTGAAAGAGAAAATAACAAAGGAGGCAATGTAGAGGTTGGGAAAAGTGGTGGATATGGAAACGAACTATGTTATTTTCAGCCATGGTGTGGCCATAATTCTTGTAGCTCAGCCCATCTGTGTAAATTGAGTGGAACCACTGGGAAGGGTTTGGTATTATTACCTGGTGAGAAAGCATCTGAACAGGTCATATACCTGCTCTTGAGTAACTATTAAATGACTCATGAAGTTTATATATGTTTATTTACATATTTGTATGCTTACATATATTCAGAATAATGGTTTGCTTTGGCTTTTAGGGTTGCCAATGACAATTTTTTTGCAGTCATTTATACAGTGATGCTTTTCCCCAACAGAATTATGCACTTATGTTTTTAGCACAGCGGCCTCTAGATGACAGATTTTGACGCATGGAACTCAGACGTGAGCATCCGTTTTCTGCCTTTTCCCAGTTGCTTGTATAGTTTCAGCAAAACATTCCTGGTACAGTACTTGCAATTAGGATCATTGTACATTTCCCACCCTTCCCATTTCTGCACATTCTCTCTCAAGGTCCAGCTGTGTGGTGATTAACGTCAAGGAATTTGGGCAGAACTTAAAGAAAGAGGCTGGAGAGGCTGAGCTGATTCAGCATAGCCAGTTGTATTACAGGTGGACATCAGCTGTGGCTCAGAAACCATGCTTTTCTAAATTTGTAATGGTGGGCAAAAGGCTCTCAGTAGTGTCAGTAGATCATTGACAGTGACTTTCTAGAGAAGAAGATTGCTTAAATCAGCAGTTGTAAACTCAACCATCCATAATAATCCTGTTTCAATCCATTGCTACTAATCCCTATATAACTGTATTGTGTAAGTGTGAAACCAGCAATTTGTAAACCAAAATAAATAATACCATGCAAAACAAACAAAACAGTAATTTAATGGCAGCTTTGTCGTGCGACAAATCCTCGTTGCTATTTACACATGGAACGCTGCCCTGGAGTGCAGCTGCAACAGCAGAGAGAGATGGGATGAGGGAGGGAGGTGAGAGACAAAGGTCATCTTTGCTGAAGAGGAACTACTAAATAGTGTGTTTTGATCTTTTAGCTGGGATAGAAACAGTCCGCTGTTGGTAGGGTGGAATGACTCCGTCTTAACAAGAAGAGAGACAAAAGGAGATGAATGAGTCTCTACAGGCTATCAGCTGCCCTCTGACACAGCTGTCTGTGTTTATGTTGTCTGATATACAGACAGGCCTCTGCTGGGACAGCTTTGCCAAGCTCATTGCAGCAGATAATGGCTATGTGAAAAGAAAGACTGGGTAAGACGTAGGCATTTTAAGGCTGACATCAAAATTTTGGGGGTGGCTGTGGCTCAGGAGGTAGAGCAGGTCGTTTCCTAACTGGAGGATTAGCGGTTCGATTCCCGGCTTGTTCGGTCAACATGTCAAAGTGTCCTTGAGCAAGACACTGAACCTCAGTTGCTCCCGGTGATAACACCGGTGTGTGAATGGGTGAACAGCTAAATAGTGTGAAAGCGCTTTGAGTGTGTTATAAAGCATAGAAAAGTGCCATACAAGTTTAAGACCATTTACCAAAGGCAATCAGCTCATATGTTTTAGGTTAAAGCCATAACATTTGAGTACGGTACAAAGAAAAATCACAGGCTAGTTGAGATAAGTATACACTGAGATGAATAGTGTGCTAATGCTGTGATTACAGTACAGGAGAATCTAATAAACATGCTTTTCAATGTCTCAAACACTGTTTCTGGCTACCTACACTTTTAGGTAGTGGTAAAGCTGAAAACACTGTGATTCTGTAGAATAAAAGTAGAGCGGGGACAACGAGAGCAGGACAGCATATTGATCTGTGCTGTTTTTAACAGTGAATGGATGAGAGGGAAAAGCTGTGAAGTGTATCATTATGTTCTCACTACAATTTGTCCACAAGAACACTGAAAGCCTAAAATCGGAGAGCTAAGACTGTTTTGTCTGTCCGCACTCATGCAGGTGGCAGCAGGAGACGTGGCTGCTTGTTTCCTACACCCCATTGTGTAGCATGTTTCTTTTGCTTTTGAATCTCATATGAGCAAATCGGTTGTACTGTTTTTCTTCTACAAGTCCATTTGAGTTATTTCTGAACGGCACTTATACATTTAGCTTTTATTTTAATAAATATAGCTGTGGTGATCTTTTCTCTTAGGACTAATAACAAATTAATATAAAAGACAATTAGGAACATTTTCATCACAGTTGAATATTTTGGCAAATAGCAGCTTATCTGCTTTGTCATATCTTGAGTTGAACAGGGCTAAAAAGCAAAATAGAGGCATACAGTGACAAGTGTCTTTGGATGTATGACGATATACAGTACACCATGGATGAGACAGACAATACAAATGTCCACTGGCTAGGAGGTGAGCAGCTGTAGTAACAGCAGAAATAGACCCAGGCAATGTTGAACAGTGATTCATTAATATCTCTTTATACAATTCTCAAATATCAAATTAGGATTTCATAGCCCAGAGTTCATCTCCAAAAGGAATACAGACATTGTCAAAACAGAATTAGATCATTTTTATTTTTGGATTTATTTTTTTCTAAAACAGATCAGTCATTTGAATGTGAATATAAATCAGGGTAAAAAAAAAAAAAAAACTGGGTTCCCCTTGTTACCTGAGCATTATGCACAAATGCTGAACTGGTAACTGACTTTTCTACAGAACAGGGTGTCAGTAACACGATGTCTCCTTAGCATTCACTTGACAAATGAAGTACACTGTCTTACTCAGCTGTGTCACATGCACATCAGGCAGTGTCTTGCGAACACTAATCAACACAGCCCGATGTCTCTTACACACACACATCATGGTTTTGGTCCACACAGGGCAGGGTGTGTATAAGCTGTGTCTGCTCAAGCCCTTTGTAATAGGGTGCTGTAATGCGGCACCTCACAGTGGTCCCATCCTGTTCCTGATAATTACCATCTCCTCAGGTCCTGTGTAAGCTGCTCCTTCTTTCCTGCAGTGTTTTGCAAAGCTCTGTTGTCAGTCCCTGAAGGATCAAAGAAGTTGCAAGCTGCTTCTCCCGTGGAACAACGATGTGGCTCGGCATGTGTCCTATAGTCCCCCTATCTTCTGTTTGCTTGGCAGGGAGTTAGTGATACTGTATGTTATTGAGAAGAGGCTTCAGTTCCATTATATTCAGCAAGGATCTGCTTCAGTTCTTCAGAGTGAAGCTTTTCATCTCATAGTTTTCAATGAATCAACATCTGAGTCATTTAATGATGTATACAGATGGAGGG